TCCTGCGAGCGAGTTTGCCCTCAGTTCTGTTGGAACGTGTGACTAGACCAACAGAACTGAGGGCAAACAGCCATCTGAACCACCTGAGCTACCAGTCTTCATTGCTATAGCCAACCATCCACTGAGTTATGACGGTTGACAATTGGGGATGCCCACCGTAGGTTTAAAGCACAATGATCAGTAATAGTTTGAGTCTCCGTTTGCTTTGAAGTAACCTTTGATCAGCCCAGTTGCATACGGAGTGGAGAATTTGAAGGGCTGCTTCTTTCCAGCGCTACACCACACGACGGTTTCATCCTTGCTTGAACCCTATAGGTGGAGACAGAGGGGGTTGGGAGTGGAATGTGGAAAGTGGTTTTTGGTGACGAACTCTCCGATAACTATTACACTGATCTACCAATGAGGTGCTTACTATAGTTGTTAGGAAACGAATAGTGGGCTTCAAACTGTGCGTCTTGTACTTGGCTGTAAGCAGCAACCCGAATTTTGACCTCAAGTCATATCATTGGGGCATCATCCGAATTGGTTACTCGTGGACTTCAGAGACCTAGTTATCCAACTGTCAGAGGATGGCTACTAACTTCCAGCTCCAACGATATATATATATATATATATATATATATATATATTAAATTTCATCAGTTCGCTGAGCTCATGCCAAGGAAAGCGACCCACGCGGTCATCAAGTGGTCCTCAATTGGACATGCCTAACCTAGAGTCATTTTCAATTGAACGCTACATTGACACTATGAGCCTTTGCAACTGTGGCTGCATATAATTCGAATCCATATGGATTGGTCCACTCATCTTGAAACGGATGTTCTTCAGTTGGACAAGAGAATATTTTGCTCCTCTCAATTGGTGACTGGGCCAGAGCATAAAATTGGTAGAACAGGCGTCGTGGATGTGTCATGTGAGGTGTACCTGTGGTGAACAAGGAGTATTCATTGCTTTGTAGTTTGTCTAACGAAACGTGCTTTCCGTCGTCGAATTGTTCTCTGGACCGAATCACAAACACCACGTCCATCAGGGATACTCAGTCCACAACTGGTTTGGCTTCGTTCCATCGAAGCAAGAACAAGGTAGAAAAAAGCACACTTTATTGCACGCGACAACGATTAACAAAGCTTTCATGCACGTGCACATTTATAGTTAATGCTTGCTTCCTACAACGCAGCACACATGGCAATTCACTGCCCGTTATGTGCGTGTATCGTTTCTTCCCAACTTGGTGAATTATTCCTGCCGTTTAACTCGGATCTTCTCTTCCACACCCTGACCAGTCTGGATTCGTTCGAAGGCTCCTGATTTGATTTATCTCGGATGAGTTCCTCTGACTGGGGCTACTCTCGGAGGCACCGACAAAGGCGTTTCTGTCCGACCAAAACTTTCTTTCTTTTTCTTTACTCAGGCCTGCTACTGCTGGTCGCTCGCTACCTACCCTAAGCACCTTCCGTTCGGCTTGTGTTTCTCGGACTGATCTCGTTTACAAAGCATGCGCCTGTCCCTTTGCTCTTCTTGCTTCGTGGGCTTCTTATTTTACGTGTAATCGTCACCATCCGAATCCCCAAAGCAGCAGTTGTAGTGTAACTACTGACAAATTTGCACTAGGGGCCTTACCTTGGTTGGGGATATAATGACAGTACAAAAATTACAAACTTCGCTTGGCGGATCAACAACAAAAAGACCTGCTCTGGATATCAGTTTTGTGGATTATTTTGAAACTACACCTCAGTAACCGTGCCATCCAGCCGCTCGTTGAAAATCGTAGGAAGGACGTGCTATGTTCGACAGACCGAAAGTGAGTATCAGGTCCAAGTCATCGAAAACAACTGTAATACTCACTCGGTTTTATTTAGGCACATTTACTTTGATGGGAAAATGCATGACATTTCAGAACCCCAACACTGTTGGTTGTGGTATTTGTTAAACGAGCCAAACACCTCAAGTACTTGTGGTGGTTGGAAAATGCTTAGATCTTTGAAGTTCTCTGTTGCTCGAGGCCTTCGTAGTTCTAGCGAGAAGTAGTCTCTCTAGGTTTACTAGGACTGGGTAGTATACTTATTATGATAAAGCGCACGTATTGAACAATGAACACTCATCACTGGTGTGCCCAAATGCTCTTGCCTGACAAGTCCCGTAAAATGATCAAAATATGGATTATGAAACAAGGGGTAAAAAATGACATAGCAAAAGGGGAAATTCAGGTTTTAAGCAACTCACCAAGCTGTTTACATGAACCTTGATGTAGGTTTCTAAATCGCTATGTTGCGGAAAAGACTACTGTGCACATACTTTTGTCCGGGTTATTTCGCCCTCCGAGTGAAACGGACTATATCACAGTGTAAGTGTGTCTTCCAGGCGCTTTTGGAAAGCGTTATTTTGGGGGCCAGAATGAAGAGAGACGCAAAGCGGTTCTACTTTCGGGACACTCGGAGGGAGAAAACGTTCTGTCGACTATCACCTCGACTGTAGTGCACAGTCAGTTTGAAATAATGGCCTCTCAGATAGGTATTGTGGCTGATTTTGGTTTGTCAGTATTTGGTAAACCATGATAAGATCTTAACGCTAAAGCCGATGTTCACCGTTGTACCATCCCACAGCTTGCAATCTGTGTTGGCAGGGAATTTGAAACAAATTTAAAGCGAATTTCGTTGCTCTGCGTTTCGGAGCATCAAACGAGCCGATATCGCATACTCCACATGCGGTCTCATCTAGACGTTCAGCATTTGCAGAAAGATAAGTGGCTCGAAGTTTCCAAAAGCCCTCCGTAAGATTCCAATTTGTTGACTAGCTCTTTCCGATGCCTTTTCAGCCTATTTCGAGCAGCCAAACTCGTTCTGCACGATTATCACGACGTCGTTTTACTGGGAAGTACATTGCAGCTGCTGGGAAAACTCTAATGATTCAGAAGTCCTAACTGTGAAATGTAACACCCACTATTATTGCATACTTGAAATTAAATGCTCATGGAATAATAAATTTCCCTAAGCAAACAATCCTTGTGTGTCCATTTGATGGCTAACAAATGTCGGTGGAGAACGGGCTGAAACCAAATGGGATACCTGGTGTGAGGATATGCTATATAGGAGCTTTGTAATAATCTATAACATTTTACTGCCTTTAATTTACCGTAACCTTATGAGAAGGATAGAATTCGCTTAATCAATTTGTCGGAAGTAGTAAGGGTAAGTTGAGATTAGAACTACATTTCTTTTGTCTATGCAACTTCAAGGAAAGTTTATGGCTTCGTTGAGTGCTAACAAATGGTTAACGTACAGATACCGCAGTACAAATCTAAGAATGCGACTAGCCTAATACATAGAGTAAATTGTTCATCAATGTAAGAGCTGTACAGAACAATACATCGTTTATCAACTGCTCTACCATCTTTTAAATCGCAGCTTGAAACCAAGATGTTTATATTGGAGAAACAGGCCGATTTTGTTGTGAAAAATAGCATCTAATTGATAAAAAATCAATGGGTTGATAACATATTTGTATGATATGCTGGTCTTGTAGTAGAATTATAAGAAAACACGTCAGCGGTAAGCCTTCTGAATTCCTAATTATTGAGAACTCGAGTGATGTTTGTGAGTGGGACATTTTAATCGATATCACTTAAAGTATTTATAATGGCTACCAGCAGACAGTAGGTAAGCTTCATCGGGTACATTTAATCAGTGCTAATTAACGCTTTTACCTGATGTCGTCCTAATGCAGTGGTCTACAATTTCTAGTATATTCGGTCTAAGTCTTGACTCATGGCACACTGAAGATTTACCTTCCTTAAGTTACGCACGCTTAACCCAACAGGACATAATGGCTGCGCTTATTTTGAAATGGCCAACCTTCGGTTTATGAATTGTCATCAGTCATTTCGTTGTTGTTTACGCTGCTTCATTGTGAATCTTACTGTTATTCATTTCGCTTAACACAGCACATGTTTTAGACTATTCACTTCCTGGAAGCAACAATTATTTGCAAGAAATCTACAAGATAGTCGGGTTTTGGAGTACGTGCCGTGTGTCATAGATTGCGACACGCCATCTCCGTTGCAGCTTCGGTTGACTCTGAAGGTAGCCTCTGCCAGTAGGATCACTGGGACCTTCACCGAAGTGATGGTTTCGGTGTAGCTCTCTCCCATCCCTGCAAAATGATCATTGCGTAATAACTTTCCGCAGACCTCGAATTCATGACAATTTTACATAGTCCATGTGGTTTGGTTGTAATGGTTACAAAGAGATAAACAAGTTAGTAATCATGTAACACACACTCCCGGTATCTGTACCATCTCAAATGCAGAGTCCACAACTTTTGAGTTACATATAACTCTATTCTCCTACTATGTTTCCCTGTCGAGTCATCTAGCAATATAATGCAAGTTGTTGATGGTTCTTTGGTCCTTCACTGAGATGGTTAATCCAAGTTGCGACCGCGGTGGGTGGACTAGAATTTAGGTCTAGCGTTTCTTAATGCAATGAATTCATTTTTCCAAACATAACTAGCGAGTGCGTGCAGAACCCCCCGTTTCCTCCAAATTGTTCAAAATCGTGTGAGCTAAAGTTTCGAAAGACCCGAAAGAGAGAACGCAAATGGAAACAGCATCAACCATACATTATCGGTACTGTGATCAACGATGGAAACAGATAACTACATTTTAAAAAGTTGTACCCCACGCAGGTAGTTGGCCCAGATTGGTATCCGTAATGCTCGTTCACCTCAAAAGTAGACATAATTACAGACACCAAACAGTCATTACCCAACCAGACTTACGCACAATTAACTATTAACTCCGGATGTCGGGTCCTCAATCCTACGTGTACGCTATAAACTACAGATCGTTATGTGGGGAGCAGGTTTCGATCAAGACCCAATGAACAGCTACTCACAGCTTCATTCCTACATGATGTTATCGCGACCTTCGGATTAGTTACCGAAAGTCTCAGCTGTCCTCGAGAAGGTTTACGCGCCTAAGCACAATAACACTGATCAAGCTAATGGAGATTTGCACTATTGGAATCAATGGAGTAGAAGATAAGGATGAAACACAGAATATCACTTTACGACGTCCGTCTGAGTTTTCAGCTAAATGTTCCCTTTTCTCTTCCACGCACAGGTATACATCCAAGATTCCCCGATAAACCAAAGATTAGACAGGCTGGAAAGAGCGTCATTTTTGAGGTGATGCTTGAAGCCGACCCTCTACCAGAACTTCGTTGGACCAAAGCTGGAGTGGAAATCAAAACTGGTGGACGTTACAAAACCAGTTGTCAAACCACCGGAACTCAACATCTGGTGTCTCTGGAAATAGCCCAGGTCAATGCCGAGGATGGAGGTGAATATTTGGTCAACGCGAAGAACAAACTGGGAGATTCCACGGCCACAATTAATTTAAATATTGGTGGCTCGAAAGCGTAAGTAATTGATCACATGTGTGGACATCTGCATGGATTTCCGTCCTGTTGCATCAGTGCATACTGATGATGTACATTGGTTTATCAAATGGCCACGTAAAACTTGTGCAGTTGCAATAGGCAGTGGACATCGGACTAAGCAAACTGTCGAAATTCTTATTAGCTTATGGATAGCAGATAATTCAGTTGCCTGATGCCATCCAGATGACGAAACTACAAGCACAAAGAAACGAGGGGTACTGAGGAAATGTGACCAAGAGAAACATCCACAGGTCCCTGAAAAGAAGCGTGTGATAGGTGTGTAATCATTATAAGCGTATCAATATATGCTCATCTGCATGCTACAGTGACACACGCCAAGGGAAATGGTCCAAGCGTGTGTTATAAAAGTAACTGAAACAGAGAATACGATTCTCATTTTGAAGTGATTAACCATGTAGACATGCCACATCTATACAACAATAACTTGCGCCCAGCATGGTCTCTATTGCCACAAGACTTGACAAGATGAATGCGCCTAGTTTTTCTGATGTCAGGTAAGTGCACTGATGCAATAGAGATTCCTAAAAATGACTATTTCTCCAATGGATATTTCAACTAGAACTCAACTGATACAGTAATCAGGTATTGCTATAAAATATACTGATCCTCTACTGCCGCTCACGTAACCGCAACAGTATGATGGTCCTAAAACCATCTTAGTGCACGTGATTGCTATCTTGGTTAACGCAATTCATCAGCACAAGCGACAAGTCAAACGTTATGCCATCCACCGCCATAACCTACTAATAAGGATCTGAGGACCATTTGGAATTGTTTAAATGATCTGCTTCTCGTGAACTGTCGTGTAACGGCAGCCGAAGGATCGGAGAGGGTAGACAGGCGGTCACGAACAGTGCTAAGCAGGTGCCACTACTTTGTTGATCAGTGTTGATGATGATGGGATGGAACCGCTACCAAATTACTAGTCTAAGGTGTTATCAACAATACAGGGCCACCCGTGGGACACATAGTAGGAGGGAAAATTACTCAACCAATAAAAGCTGGATGGCTAACCGATGAACGAAACGAAAAACCAATCGGAGGCAGTGTCAACAGCAACGTATGTGCGCTATAATAAACCTGTAGTTCTTTTAGTTGGTAGAGTCTTGCCTACGGCTTCGCAACGTGAAGTTGATAGTTTCGGCGTAGCACAACTACAATCTCAAGATTATATTGTTTCAAGGACACTGAAGTCGCTGTATTCTGAAGCAGGCAACTTATGATCAGACGAATCTACTGTATAAATTGAGCACAGCATACCCATTGCGGTGTCTTATTTCAAGGAAAAAGTTAGATAGGCGTAAGTGCTATCTTCATCATGTCAAGCGCGAGCTTCGTTTCCGTTTTCATCTCTGTTGTCTCTAGACTAAAACAGTCTTGCTAACGAATTGAACACAATATAGTGCAAACGTACCCATAGCAAGCTGCAGTTTTCGGCTTGTTAACATTGAAAAGCAGGGTTATGATGTGAATAAACCAGTCTGTAATGTGCATCAGTAGTGCTTCGCAACCCAAGTTCCTACTAATGTCCGTCCCAGATTACTGAATCGTTGAAACTGACACAGATCCAGATAGACTGCCATTCAGTAAATGACTTGGGTCACCGAAGTGGAAATCAACAATATCATGACCATTTGATTTATGCGGGTTAAGAAGCACTGATCTACCAGCCTCATTGGATGGTCCGGTGCAGTTAAAGAAAAGTGAAATATAAAGCTGTTTACTTTATTAATATTAATATAATATTACGTTTACCTGCGTATGACGCAGCAGTTATGCCCCTTGCATGGTTTCACATCACGAGTAGTTGACGGATAGTAAGTCCAAGGTTTTCCTACAAATGAAACGGATCGATAATTGTATGCAGCAAAATCTAGGCGGCTGAATGGGACCTCCAACCTCCACTAAAACATGATTGGCGTTGGTGCGGAAAGGACCCATTCAGAGGGTGTTTTTCAGGGGAGACAGGCACCAACAAGCACAGAAGTACTCACACTGATTCAACTGGGCGGGTTTGCCCTGGCGATTAAAGTCCATAGACGACTAGTTTCACTCACCAAACAATCTGGATAATGCAAGTCACCGTGCACAGGGGCTCAAGAGCTACGTTACGACACCGGGACTAGAGTCTCACAATGCTAAAGTCACGCTGGCCACCCAGCGTTGAGAAAAGTAGTTTTGTTGGCTTTCACTAATTCGGTTACAGTACCGAAGCAAACACATATGCACATGCGACCGTAGGAATGTTTTAAAATAACAATTTTGACATAAATGCCGGATCACACGGTCATCTGGCAGTGGTCGGAGCTTTCAGTACGTACAACAATAGGTTCCAGTCAACTTTACTTCGCCTATCCACGGACCACATTCATCCCGTTGCAACTACTGCAACTTCATCCAGTATAAAGGTATGGGAAAACCTTGCTGTTTACGTAATAGCGAACGGCGATCACTATAAGATGGAGGTAAACTAGTTCCTCCAAATAGGATGGCATTGTTCACACACTCTAGCGAAAGGAAATCCAATAAAAATTGATATCATCCGGTCAACACTACACAAGTTGTCCATCTGAAAAATGTGGAGGATATGCTCGGTGATATCACTTTGGATATCTGCTTGATGGTTAGGAGTTAAATAAGCCACCGTCATTTTTGATGGCACCATTCTATATCTTGGTAGACCCAGCTCTATATCATCTATACGCAATGAATCATCCGCTTCGATCATAAAAATACATAACAAAATTTAGGAGTTCATATTATAAGACTGTTAATTTAATAGGCTTGGGACAGCCCATTCGTCTTTTTGGGACTCGTCAGCATCGTGTTTTCTCCTGAATGTTTTGGCGGTCGAATCCACGACCCGCGAATTTGCAAGTCGATTGGTGCCACTGGGGGAATCGGGGCCGTAGTAGACAGATATGACTGAGATGTAGCTACGATGGAGCGTAGAATATCCTCCATGACGATGTATGTTACAGTGCTAGCACTTAAGAATACGACTTGTTGGGATTTCAAGTTAAAGTCAGTTCACCTAAACACATCCTCTTAAGTCTTTCAGGCTTTTAGCAAAAGTAACCATCGGAAACGAGAAAGGCGTTGTACGGGTGATTCGAAAAAATCCAGTGCTTTGTCTGAATATTGCGGTGGTCTATAAAGCCATGTGTTCCCAGGTGCTTCGTATTTTATCCTGAACGTGACTTGCATTTTTATTTCAACTATGTAAAGTAGTACGTTCAGAAACCACCAGGCGTTTAAATCCTCTCGTTAAAAAACTTTATGGCCTAAGTTGCGTAGCATAAGAAACGGTGATAAATTGAGACTGATTTGGCAAACGTTTTGCACTTTCTGAGCGAAAGCAGGGCCCATAACTGCGTGGGCGCTATTGCCGATGTTTCTTTTGTTGAAAAGAACAACGCACTTTCGTTCGTAGAACTTTCTGTTAGTCCGCATTGTTGAGAAGATCTGAGGATAGCGGTGCATTGAAGTTCCGCAGCTTTTATCGGTCAGTGAATCAATTCGGATGTCAGACAGCTTTCGATAATAGCTATTTAGTATAAGGGATAACCGAATTTGTCTGGGTATCTTAAGCTTGTGAACCCCAAACGGTAAAATGATTCCGACAGTAGTCCAGATGGATGATCCCTCAGGTTGGTGTTGCAACTATAACATTGCAGATGACGACACGAGTAGTCAGGATTAATCTTCTGATTACCCCCAATTGCTAAGGACCATGTCAAGTATTTATTTACTAACCTGGAATGATATCGTCAAGTTGTCAGGTAGTCGTCCCTTCAACTGTCAAAACTTACCTTTTGCTTATGCGGAACGTGACACATCTCTTCAACTTTATTTCTTGCCCTACTTCGTGGAGTCATCGATTCAATTGAGCAAAATTTTCGCACCGAGTTTCTAAGCTTAGATATAATATTCAACTTCAGGATTCAGCGTTGAGTGTTGAGGGGACTGTGGTAGGGTCAAAGCAAAATAGCTCCCACTTCAACCGATCAGACTGTTTTGCAATCCTTCTTGATATCGCGTCAAACAATTTCCGGCCTCTTGTCTGCTTGTGTTAAACAACAGCTACAGCAAAATCGTTATGTTGTTGCGCTGGTCCTGACCGATCGGTCAGTTAGTGGGATTGCAACGGTGCATTCGTTGTTTGGACCTATTATTTCCGAAGGAGAATTTACTTTCGACTTCATTACTCTAAGAGTCATGGAGTGTGGATTACCTTCCAGACCCCAAAGTGAAATCTCACCAAAGCTATCCCAAACAACGTGAGTTGAAAATACCGATACCGAGGCACGCGTTAAGAAATATGCGACCTCTGACGGCGCTCAAGTCGTATCAGGGTGGAGCCATACATCTTTGATAACCTTATATTAATAAAAAACAAGCAAATTCCGGTAGCAACATCATAAGAGCGGGGTAAAGCTAAAGAAACATGTGATTTCGGTAAGCATCTAGTTCTTCCTTTATTGATAACAGCTAAGTACCTCCTGGTATTTTTATGAGGACATGTACTCCGGTAGTATGCCGGACGGTAAGCAGTCAGGTAGCAATTTTCGCGTTGAGCCAGGACTGTGAGTTCAACCTTACTGTGATGAGAGTGTACACAGTTTTCCGCAGCAACTAATGTCAGCTTCGCGGATCAAATAGTAGTGGTGCTTACTCCTGATAGGTAGCCAACGGTTCGTTTCAGCACGATGTTTGGTCACTTGGAAACCTTTCGGCGCTTGTGCCTTTTGTTGCACACCATTAAGCTTACATTCATCCGACTCGAATTTATCAGCTCTATAAGATGGACAGTAACCTTTTGATTATTTTCATCGCCCCAACGTCTGATTTGTGTCCCCGCTTGTGAAGGATGTTTTGCTGAAACTTAGGTGTTCAATGACCCCAGTCTTCAAGCACACCGTGGGCTTTTTACACTCTTTCATAAGAGCTTTCCTGAG